TAAAACTTACCTGTACCCACTGCCATTTCACCTTTTCCACTTTTTACTATTTTAAAAACGCCATAATCTTTAAATTGCCGGTACTCTCTCCTCCTTCCCTCCCTTAAAAGACAAGCACCTTAGGGGTGGGGGGACTTCACTCACTTTTGTTTCTCAGGTCTCTATTCATTTTTAATCTGTTTCAATCATATTTCTTCCCCCTCACTCCACCAATGCCGTTTTCATTAAGGTCACCATTGGGGGGGGGGGTGTGTGTGTGTGTGTGTGTGTGTGTGTAGTCAGGGTCTCACTCTGTGACTGTGTGTGTGTTTAGTCAGGGTCTCACTCTGTCACCCGGGGGGGGGGGGGTGTGTGTGTGTGTGTGTGTGTGTGTGTGTGTGTGTGTGTGTGTGTGTGTGTGTGTAGTCAGGGTCTCACTCTGTGACTGTGTGTGTGTTTAGTCAGGGTCTCACTCTGTCACCCAGGCTGCAGTGGCACAATCACGGCTCATCGTAGCCTCGACCTCCTGGGTTCAGACAATCCTTCTGCCTCAGTTTCCCAAGTAACTGGGACTACAGGTGCGTGCTACCAGGCTTGACTAATTTTTTTTTTTTTTTGTAGAGGTGAGGTCTTGCTATTATTACTTAGGTTGGGCCATTGGGTTTCTAAATGCCAAGTTTTTCAGTTATTTACTTATCTGACCTCTCAGCAGCCGCTGCTTTTGCTACCGTTTGTCTTCCTCAAGTGCTCTCAAACCTTGGCATAATTCTTTGCTCTCTTTCCAAATGCAGGTATCCACCAGCTGTCCTTGACCTTCTTCTCATTCCTTCCAATGCTTTCACCACCAGCTATTAGTGCTTTCTAAATCTCTTCTCCAGTCTAGAACTCTCCCCAGAGCTCAACACCCATCTACCTACCTACCTACCAAACACTGTGATCCAATTTCTTCATAGTTCTCCACATGTAATGTGTCCACATCTGAACTTATTTTTTCCCCTGCAACCCATTCCTCCTACAGCACTCCATTTCCTAATGGAATAACTAGTCCTCCAAGTTTAAAAACCCTTCTCCTTCTACCTCATTCCCACCAATGATGCTACCACTAAATCCTCTTGATTCAGCTTCCTATATAATTTTCATATCCATCCCCTCCTCTCTACTGTTACATTAATGGCACAGTCAAGGCCCTCATCATCTCTCCTAGAGTCCATGACAAAGATATAGTTAATCTCTACACTTTCAGGTCTCCTTCTCCCTAATCCACCCTCTACCCTGTCCACAAGTTATTTTTTCTAAAATACATATAGGTTCAAGTTAAGCACCTTCCAAGATTCCCCATCCTCTTCTGAAGTACCATTTAGTACAGTGGTTAAGAACACAGGCACTGGGGTTGGAAAAAACTAGATGCAAATTCTAGATTTTTCCACTTACTGTGTGGCCATGAGACACTACTTACCCTAAAGCTTAAAGTTTTCACTTATAAAACAGGGATAATTTGTCTACCCCACACTGTTGTTAAAAGACTTATAAAATTATATATGTAAAACATGTGTTCCAATATCCAGAAAAATAAAATACCTAATAAATTACTATAAGTTAAAGTCCAAATTACTTACCATGAGCCTTTATGATCTGGCCTATCCAGTCTCATTTCCCATTAAACTTTCTTCATTCCACACTGTCATGCTGTTTCATATCTTTTTGCTTTTATACACACAATTTCCTCTGCCTAAACAGCCCAGCCCCAGTGCTTTGTCTGATAAGTGAAATCTTTAAGACTCTGACTTCAGTTTTTGCCCCTTAGGCTTATATAACTATCGCTTTGTGTTACATCTATTCTGGTCTGCCTCCCACACTAAATTGTGAGTTTCTTGAAAGCAGAGATAAGTGGAGAAAATAACACAAAAAACTAAGAATAGACATTGAAGTTCACCTCAGGCATGGAACCTAATCAATATTCAACAGATTTGTAGGAAGGACCTAAGGTGATTACTCTGTTTCCAAACTAATTGAATGTAACTAGAGGTTGATTCATTTTACTTTCTTCTTTTTTTTAAAAAGCATCAGCCTGATGAGGCTTTAGGTGAGCAGGTTCAGAATCTAGTACTTGGACATTCTTTTTTGGTATTATAGAATAGCTGTGGAAAAATTCAAACTGAGTCTTGAAAAACGTTCCAGTCCAAGGCAGAAAAGGCCTGACAGGCATAAACAGGGCCTCTTTCTAGTCTGCAAGTTGGGCTATGTGAACTTTCAGTTAAAATTTCAATGCAGCAAAACTGTATTTAGTTAATTTTTTTCAAAAGGCAAGTTGTTCCCTAGAGGAAACTTAAGAAAACTTAATTTTTTTTTTTTTTTTAGTTGGAGTCTCACTCTGGCGCCCAGACTGGAGTGCAGTGGCACGCTCCCAGCCACTGCAGCCTCAACCTGCTGGACTCAGGCGATCCTTCCGTCTCAGCCTTCCAAGGAGCTGGAACTACAGGCATGCACTACCACGCCCGGCTAATTTTTGATTTATTGTGGAGATGAGGTCTTGCCAAGTTGTCCAGGTGGGCTCAGGCAATCTACTCGCCTTGGCCTCCCAAAGTGCTGGGATTACAGGCTGAGCCACCGAGCCCAGCCAAAACTTAAATTGAAATAAACGAATTTACTAAGGGAGAGACGTCTGTAGAAGATACCACCATGGGAACTTCCAAACGAGCAATCAGAGAAGTCAGAATTCTATGAAATTAGTCTCTATCATAAGGTGATCGATGACTAAACACTTAAAAGAAACAAACTCGCAAATACCAAGGCTGTGAGGGTTCTTAGGCCAGAAAAGTATGGCCTGCAGAGTTAGTCGTCTTAAAATACTACGAAACACAAGGCAGGTGAATTTCCTTGTACTAAGAGGCGATTACAAACAGCTCATTTACTTGTGTCAGGAAACCAAGTCATATTCCTTTCTGGAATCCTAGATGCCAGGTTTATCACATACCAAGTCCACACTTCTTAAGAAAAGTATTTCTTCCCAATAACTACGAAAGAGATATTTGGGGGGTGGGGGTGGGGAATCTACTTTCAAATTTTTTCTTTAAAGTCCGTCAAAAGGGTAGTGACATCTGGACTTGGCTAGCAACGCTCACGTTTTAGATACTGCTGTGACGCCTGCGAAACAAGTTCAACCAGGGTCGACTTCGTTTGCCGTCCCCGGCGGAGTCAAGGAAGGAAAGATGCCTTAAGGGAGTTAACCCCGGGGGGAGCTGCCCAAGGATGCTGTCAAAACGCAAGGGACTCCGAAAAGGGATCCGTCCTGGGGAAAAGGGTGGCAGGAGCAGCGAGGGAGGGGCTGCGCGAGGATGTCACAAGCCGGCGGGACAGCGAGGCTGTCACAGAGTGGCATCCCCCCTCCCGGCCTCGGGGCCCAGTCACTCACATGCGGGGCCTGCACCCGCTCGGGCTCCTCCCGCCTCGGAGCCCGCAGCCGCCGGGCGAGAAGGATGAACCGACAACTTCCTGCTTCCGGGAGCGCAACCCGGAAGCAGCCTCCACGCCAAAGACAAGGACTCGCCCCCTAGAATAGCTCCTCCTTCTCGCCCCGAGCTTCCGCCCAAAACAGAACACGCTGCCAACGTCGCGGGGCGTGCGGGAACTCTCGCGATATCTGGGGAAAGTACGGGTTCTTGCTCCCCCTGGTGTCCCTCTCTTTCTCTTCGGTCCTCGTGAGTTCCTTCTCTTGCAAGACTGGCACAGATTTTACAGCTGAACTAAATAATTCAACAAGCAGTTATTGAGCCCCCTGCTTTCTCCTGTATCTCCCTTTCCTTATCTCTCATTGTCTTCCTGGACTTTCTCTTCTCTCCCCAGACTCCTTGCCTTTGGAGTCTGGAGGCTCAGATTTACTATATGGCTATGGAAAAACAAGTATTTTACTGCCGAGTCTCAGTTTTCACATCTGAAGAATGGGAATAATACTGTTTACTTTACAAAGCTGTTTTGTGGAGTAGATGAGATAAGAAAGTGCAAGCGTTGTGTAACTCATACAGAGTCTTACGAAAGTTCGTTACTGAGACCCAAGTGCCATCCGTTCTCATTTTCTTCCTTCCCGTCGGGTCTGCTCAACTGTAGAACTAAGAAATTTTTCGAATAGAATGTTGAGACATAACTCCAATCAGAGTGCAGTTCTGCTGGTTGTTTCCGCCTTCCTTGCCTAAACGAGCCAATCAGATTGCCCAGAGAGTGGTGCGGTATCGCCACTTGGAGATCACCTCGAGTGGCGTTTGCACTTTTCTCCCTTCTTGCGCCAGCCTCTTCTCGCCTCTCACCTCAGCTTCCCGGCCTTGGAAGGAGGGACTGTCCTCTTTTTATCCAGCCCCCCAAGTTCTGGCCTCGAGAGGGTTGCACGGCGGAGACCGGAAGTGTGCGCAGCAGCAGCTGGTCCCCAGCTAATCGACGCCGGAAGTAGCGATTACTGGAGAAGCATTCCGCCGGTTGCACTATGGCGGCAATTCCCCCAGACTCCTGGCAGCCACCCAACGTTTACTTGGAGACCAGGTGAGGGAGGTCGAACCTGTGGGGCTGAGCTGGCACAGGCGAACCCGGGCCTCGCCGTGGGGCTCAGTTCTCGGCGCGCTCCTCCTGGAGGCCGGTCTTCACGTGGAGGGGCGTGGAGCGGCCGCGGTTAGGGACCCTCTGAGGGCTGAGGGGACTACCAGCATACGCGTCCAAGCTCCCCACCCTCTCGTGCTGAGACCTCAGCTACAGCTGCCTGATGGTCCTCCCTCCAGTCCTTCGTTCGTTCGTTCGTTCATTCATTCATTCGTCCACTCAGTAAACATGTAATGAGTTCGCTAGCCAGGCACGTAGAATCTGAATTCTGAGGATAACACAACCTCGCCTTTAGGAGCTTACGGTATAGTGAAAGAGACAAATAACGTAAATATTACTCGACAACAGTGCCGTTGTACAAACATTGCTATGAAAATACAGAAGGAAGCACATCCTCTTGTGCCATACCCCTTATGTATGTCATCCCATTTAGTTTAATCCTCCTAGCAACTTGAATCATGTAGGTATTATTTCACCTTCTCCCTTCTAAAATTAGGGGAAAATGCCAAAATTTACTGATTAAATGGCTTGACCAAAGCCACACAGTAAGTGGGGGGAACCTTGTTTGGAGCCTGGTCTGCCTGCCTCACATGCTAGATTCTTTAGCCCCATTCATTCCATTGCCTCTTTGGAAAAAGCTCAAAGTGATCTTTTCAGAGTAGGATGAGGAATTCGGCTCAGAAACTTTAAAAAGCTTCCTGCTACAATAACTGTATAAAGTTAAAACTTAGTCTGGCTTTCAAGGTGATGGTTTCACCTGGTTTTTGCCTACCTCCTCTTCTCCCATTAGCAGCCGGGGACCAGCCAAAATGTGTCTGCCTGTCTTTCCGTACTTGCCCATGCTGCCTTCGCCCAGAGGAGAGTTCTCTCAGTTCCCTCTATGTTTACTCATGCTGTTCTTGCTGCCTGGCCATCAACCCACCTTTTATATGGAAAGTTAAACTTCAGTCTCTAACCTACAATTTCTGAACTCTTCTGTTGGTATTTTTTTAAATTACAAAATAAATTGAAATTTGAATCCAAGCAATGTAGATGTATATAGAATAAGTGAAAACCACCCCCTTCCTGCAAACACCAGTTTGTTGGATGATTGCCCAGATCTTGTTATATATGCATATAAACCTTTTATGTTTTTTTAAACAAAAATGGGATCATATGATCATACTGTATATGTCGGGGTTTTTTCCCTTGTGATTTGCTTCTCTTTTATTCATTAATTCATGTAGCTGCCCATATTATGGATTGATATTTTCAAGTTAAGTTTTTAAGTTACTTCTCTTTTTTTTTTTGCTGTAACAAATAGTGGGATGAAAATCCTTGCATGTATTGTATCCTTAGGCACTTTTGTAAGTTTTTTTAGAGAATAGACATTTGGAAGTTGAAACTGTGGTGTGCACATTTCAGAATCCTGTAAGTATTCTCTCACTGTCTTTCCAAGAGTTTATTTTCTGTATTTTAAGAACAACCAGGCTGGGCGCGGTGGCTCAAGCCTGTCATCCCAGCACTTTGGGAACGCCGAGGTGAGAGGATTACCTGAGCCTGCGGGTTCACTACCAGTCTGGGCAATATGGTGAGCCCTCATCTCTACAATCAATCAAAAAATTAGCCGGGCGTGGTAACATGCACCTGTAGTTCCGGCTACTTGGAAGGCTGAGGCGGAAAGATTGCCTGAGCCCAGCAGGTTGAGGCTGCGGTGGCTGTGAGCATGCCACTGCACTCCAGCCTGGGACGGAGTGAGACTCCAACTCAAAAAAAAATAATAATAAAAATAAAAAGCAACCACCAGAATATAGCTCCAAGAGGGAAGAAACACCTAAAATAGTGCCTTGCACAGAGTAACTGTTAATGTGTGTTGAACGTTAGTAGTGCAAAAGATGAATTGCAGGCAGAAAGACTGTCAGAAGACTTTTTCTTCTTTTTTTTTTAAGAGACCGAGTGTCACTGTGTTGCCCAGGCTGGAATGCACTGGCTGTTCACAGATGTGATCCCACTACTCCCAGAACAGAGTTTTGATCTGCTCTGTTTTTGACCTGGGCCGGTTCACCCCTCCTTAGACAATCGGGTGGTCCCCTGCTCCTGGGAGGTCACCATATTGATGCCGAACTTAGTGTGGACACAAGATTGGCATAGCATACTACAGCTCAGAACTCCTGAGCTCAGGTGATCCTCCTGCCTCAGCCTCCTGAATAACTAGGACTACAGGTGTATATCACTGCACCAGCCTAGAAAGCTACTTTCCAAGACTAGGCTCATGCCTGTAATTCCAGCACTTTGGGAGGCCAAGATGGGAGGATCGCCTGAGCCTAGAAGTTGGAGACCTGCCTGGTCACATAGTGATACCTCATCTCTACCAAAAAAATAAAGCTATTTCCTAACACATTCCATATGTACTTATAGAGTGCTTGCACTGTGCAAGGCACTGTACTGTGCGCTGATATCTAAGCTATACAGAGTTGACTCAGTTCTCACATTCTTAGAGCTTAAAGTGTAGATGGATGATGGAGTGGAGGGGAAGGCACCTGAACTGTCTCTTCTTCATTATCCTTTAGCAGTACTGGAGAGGAAAAAGCAGTCATATTGCGTAGGTGCAAAGGTTCGAAGTAATCAGATTTTTGCCTTTGTTGTACACCCTCCCAAACTGCCTTTTTTTTTTGCCATTAATTTTTTTTAATAGTTAATACATTTACATGGATCAGAATTTTTTTAAAACCCTTTGGGCTGGGTGGGATGGCTCATGCCTATAATCCTGTAATCCTAGCACTTTGGGAGGCCAAGAGGGGAGGATTGCTTGAGACCAGGATTTCAAGACCAGCCTGGGAAACATAGCAAGACCTCATCTCTACAAAAAAAATTTTTAATTAACTGGACGTGGTGGTATATGCCTGTAGTCTCAGCTATTTAGGAGCCTGAGGAGGAAGAATTGCTTGAGCCCAGGAGTTTGAGGCTGCAGTGAGTTGTGATCATGCCACTGCACTGCAGTCTGGGTGACAGAATGAGATCCCGACTCAAAAAAATAAGAAACTTTTGGCTGGGCACAGTGGCTCACACCTGTAATCCCAGTACTTTGGAAAGCCAGGGTGGGAGTATTGCTTGAACTGGGAGTTCGAGACCAGCCTGGGCAACATAGCAAAACCTCGGCTCTATAAAAAAATTAGCTGGATGTGGTGATACACGCCTATAGTCCCAGCTCCTTGGGAGACTTGAGCCCAGCAGTTTGTGGCTGCAGTGAGCCGTGATTGTGTCACTGTACTCTAGTCTGGTGACAGAGTGAGATCCCAACTCAAAGAATAAAAATAAAAAACTTTTAAGAAGATTTTCATTGAACACCTTTGTCTCCCATTACCCAGTTCCTACCCCCATCCAGAAACTTCTGCATATACAAATAAATATGAACTACTAATATTTTAATATCCTTTTTTTAAATCTAAAATTTAAGTCTAAGAATTTTTTTCCCCGAATTTAGACTTTGGTTATATCGGTTTCAGGAGATCAGTGGTGTATTTTTATGTATAAGGTGTTGGAATTTTGAGTTGTTTGTGGTTATTTTGCTTAAAAGTAGTATCAGAAGCCCCTGCATGTTTTATCAAAAGAAATAATCTGTGTTACTTGCATTGTGTTATTTTCCTTTGCTGAGCATGAAGTCTGGTGAGTATCACAGTTCTTGACTTACAAGCTTGAAATCGACAGCCCCGTGATGTTCCTGTCTGCCCTGACTTTGTTCTTGACTGTGTTGTCCTCTCCCCCACAGCATGGGAATCATTGTGCTGGAGCTGTACTGGAAGCATGCTCCGAAAACCTGTAAGAACTTTGCTGAGTTGGCTCGTCGAGGTTACTACAATGGTACCAAATTCCACAGAATCATCAAGGACTTCATGATCCAAGGAGGTGACCCAACTGGAACAGGTACAGTTAAGCTGACATGAGTTTCCCAAGTTTCATTCTGTCATGAATAGGTGATAAGGGAACCAGAACTCTCTTTTCCACTTAGCAGGGACTGTGTTGGTTGATTCTGGTGACAAAGCCTATCTTCTCTAAGCACATGTGTCAAATTGACAGGAATCTAACCTTGACTCCTAGGCTTGATAGAATTTCTCATAACTTTCTTGTATCACTCACTAAGAGCAAATAATACTTGTCTGAATTTAGTGATGCAGACTAGTCTGATCAATAAGTAAGGAAAGGCATAATTCACAGTGTTTTGAGAAGAATACAAATACTGGGTTCTTTTACCAACTCATTCATTTAGCAAATATTGAGCATCTACTTTGTGTCAGATACTTGTCTAAGCTCTAGAGATGTGTCTATAAAGAGAGACAAAATTCTTGCTCTCAATAAAGAGAGAAAAGGGGATGGGGATGCAATTTTAGTAGAAAGGTCAGGGAAGTCTTCTCTGAGAACATGTTGTTGGGGAGGAGATCTGAATGAAATAAGGGAGTGAACCATGTGGCTTGGGGGAGAACATTCTGGATGGGGGAAGAGCAAGCACAGGGGCCCTGAGGCAGGAGCCTATGTTGGAGGTCATGTGTATTATTCTGAGTAAGATGGAAGCCTTTGGAGAGTTTTGAGCAGAGAGTGACTTCTGACCTCTGTGTTGACAAGATCACGCTAGCTGCTGGTTAGAGGGTAGAGGCAAAAATGGGAGCTGGGGACCAGTCAGGAGTCTGCTGTAGTCATCCACTAGGCTGATAATAGAGAAGGTGGTGAGAAGTGACAACCCAGTTGATATTTTGATGGAGACAGAGCCAGTGGGATTTGCTGATGGATTGGATGGATGGAGTGAGAGAAAGAGATGATTAAAGATGCCTTCAAGGTTTTTGACCTGAATTTACTGATATTGGGAAAGCTGGGAGAAGAGCAGGTTTGGAGGGGGAACATCAAGAATTTGGTTATGGACATGCTATGTTTGAAATACAGCTGTTCCTCAGTATCCATGGGGGATTGGTTCCAGGACCTCCACATGAATGTTCAAATCCATGGATGCTCGAGTCCCTGGAATAAAATGGCATAGTAATTGCATGTAACCTATATAAAGCTATATATATATATATATATATATATATATATATATATATATATATTTTTTTTTTTTTTTTTTTTTTTTGAGTTAGAGTCTCATTCTGTTGCCCAGGCTGAAGTACAGTGGCACACTCACAGCACCGCAGCCTCAACCTGCTGGGCTCAGGTGATCCTTTCACCTCAGCCTTCCAAGGAGCTGGAACTACAGGCTTGCACCACCACT